ATTCTCATTCTTCGTCTCTTTGATAGTATAATTTCGCTACTACTACTCGAAGTGTCCGAATCATAACCAACATGTCTTCCACAATGTCTTTTAACTCTTCAAAATCAAATACGTCTTCGGTATCACTCGGCTCTAAATTCTCATCATAATATTTATTTTTCTCCATGTTGCTAACCATAGAAAATATCAAAAAATGGTTTAATCGTAATAGTACAGACTTAACACGTTTTAACTACAGATAACAATTGCTAACGCCGACGATAACGTATGCTAAAAACATTTGGCTCCGCAGCGGAGCCTTCGGAGTTACGGAACAAATGACAAATGTCTCCGTAGCGGAGCCATCGGAGCGCTAAGGGTTAAAACAGATAATGTCGTTGGTGCCTACATATCTAACACGGCCTGCCAGGGAACCACACTGAGATTAACAGAATAATATTTTATAATTTTACAAAGGAAACAGTGTTTTATTTCTGCAAAATGAGTATGCGTAGTAAATTTGATACGTATGAACTAGAGGATGATGTCTACAACGCGTATACTTTGATGTAGTCTATTGACAAGCCTTTGTCTACTTGTCCCCAATTAGCCAGCCACGTATTGTCACTGCTGTAGAAGTTGTACAGCGCCTGTAATGGAGATCATTGCATAATGAATATTCTCAGTGTTAGTCTGATAGCAGAAATGAATTTGAGTACCTTCACGCCCTTGTTTTTCCACGGTTTTACATAGTTGCCACTTCTGCATCCGTCAGGGAAAAGGCTGCGTCCTCCAACACCCACACCCACGTTAATGTAAACCTATGATTGTGTGGACAAGAAATAAATTAATAACATTTTATAATAAGAATAGAAAACATTTAGATGAAAATCATACAAAATGCATGCCATAACAATACTTCTTCTATCGACTAATTATTATTACTAATACTAATACTATTACTAGTACTAATTATTATATTACTAACTTATTACTAATATCTCAAAAGGTAGAAGTCGAGTTTTTACTGGAATTATAAGAGAGAGAGAGAGATGGTCATCGGTAACCAGTGTTATTAAGATCATTAGTATAGTTAAAATAAGCTCAATACCATTAATTCACTACATATTTGGTGACGACGATATAAAACCGCAATATGAAACAATTTTCAATTTTTATTACAGTGTATTAATTATCTATTTTCATAAAAATAAAGTTGACTCCCATAATCTTAGCAGATTTTTAGCCTAGCACTCTGCAGTTTACCAGTAAAAAAATACTATCTTTTATAATAACACAACGACGTATATCTTACAATTGCAAAGACAATTTTCTACATGCTACAATTAAAAATCTGGAACAGTCATAGCTCTCAATTTACAAAATATAACTTTTTAAAACAGAATTCACTGGGGCATACACCTTGTGTGGGCTGAGACGAATCTATGAACTTATTTAATCGTATTATAAGTTATTTCATCATCATATGTATATGCTTGTAATTATGGAGAATCAGTGATTGTTCACGAACGACACAAATCTTCCGTAATAATTAACATAAGAATAATCAAGTTCCAACAAAGTTAAAGAAATTAAAGTTTCTTTCAGTAGAAAACGAATATGTTCATAGTCAGATAATCTCAACTTACTGGAACATCGAACATTGATGGCACCCTCTGTTCTCCATACTTTATATCATCGACTCTAAGAATGACATGTTCACGTTTCCATTCAATTTCATAGATATGATAGTCATTAGACCACGACGAGTCTATCACCTTCGTCGGGAGAGCCATTCGGTTGTCCTGCAGATCATTATTTTCCAGATTAGTTACATATGCACCGGCCTGGAGAAATTTACTGCCTATATCTTTTCCCTCGGTTGTTACGAGTAACGGATTGCCAAATGAATGGGCAATCATGAAGCTACAGTAAGATGATTCATTCGATGAGACATCATTCTCTAGAGTGATCACTGAAACGAAATACGAGACAAAGAGCTGAACAAGGATAATACAATTGCAAGCTTATCGGATTTAAATCGTGTATCTAACGTACGTGGATATATCCAATCGCCGCTCGGTAATTTAGCGCGAACTTGGACCTTTCCATACATGAAGTTGAAAGATGGTTTGGTATTCAATCGCCCTGAAATTACAGGCGGCAAAATATTCCAGGCATTTGCTACTCGTGAGCAATCTAGGCTACCAATCTCTGCCGTACATCTAAAATACACCCGAAAAATGAAGCACGGCAATCGAGTAATAAAACTAATTGTTGTTGTATTAACAAAAGTGCGATTTTACTTATCCAATCGCAAAGACCCGTCTTGCACAAACGTCAAGCCGTATTTCTCTTTGACGAGAGTTGGTTTAATATACAATTTACCATCTCGAACGTGAACATTTTCTTCGTCGTTTTTGTAAACGACAAATTCGAAGTTCTAAAACATACGAACCAGGTTTCGTTTTCAATATAAAAAGAGGGCGTACATGATGCCTTCGAAAATCGGTTACCATACGCCACTCTTACCGGCGCCTCCGAGAAACGTTCAATAATCTTCCAACGATTTGTATCGAGCGTATCGAAGTTCTCTTCGAAAATTAATTGACCCGCGCAGGCACTGTTGCGCTTTAGTTGCTGGGATGCTCCATCACGTGTGTATACCTTCGTATCAGATGCAACTTTGCACGAGCCGTCAACACGTTGTACAGGACCGGCTATAGTTCCATTGGCATTATAAAATTCTAAAAGAATACATCATATCGCTTTCAATGATCAATAGTATCTTTCACGAATTGTTTCATGAAGTATTTAGATTAATTTATAGTATTTTTGTAGTGAGTGAAGTGTGTGCGCGTAAGAATGTGTGGAGAGCAAGGTGTGTGTGTGTGTGTGTGCGCGTGCGCGCGCGCGCGCGCGCGAGTGTCGTATGCTGAGTGAAGTCTCGAATTATTGTATGTATGTATGTATGTACATCGGTACAAGGTGATTCTTTAATCGAAATCCGTTTGGAAGACTCGCGATAGGGAATCCCACATTTGTAATATTAATCATTGTTGACTGCTCAGTAAGTACGCATATTCAAGGCTCTTGAAATTTATACAGCAAATTCCCCCCAATTGACGCTCAGATTATACGAGCCGTGCGGCTTGTTTTTATAGTTACCGATTGTCAACAAGTATAAAAACGAGTCGCAAGGCTCGAATAATCGTATCTTCTATTCCCAAATTGTCCATTTTTGTTTCTAAAAATATATTTTTCTAAAAATTTAGAATCGAAGAAAATTTTACGCTGACGTTTAAATTTTTTTTCAAGTCTTTTTCTTATTCTATAGTTACTGTATTACTTATTATTTTCAGAATGTTATGCATAAATGGTTTATCATTTTTAAAGAAAACAAACCTGTAACTTCGTGTTGTTGGTCAAGTAAATTGTAACCCAAACCATTGTACACGACATGCACCCACATATAAATGATATCCCCAATTTTCAGTTTGGTGGTGCGGTCCTGGTAAACCCAGCGACCATTTCTCGGTTTGATGATGTCAACGGCGNAGGCTCGAATAATCGTATCTTCTATTCCCAAATTGTCCATTTTTGTTTCTAAAAATATATTTTTCTAAAAATTTAGAATCGAAGAAAATTTTACGCTGACGTTTAAATTTTTTTTCAAGTCTTTTTCTTATTCTATAGTTACTGTATTACTTATTATTTTCAGAATGTTATGCATAAATGGTTTATCATTTTTAAAGAAAACAAACCTGTAACTTCGTGTTGTTGGTCAAGTAAATTGTAACCCAAACCATTGTACACGACATGCACCCACATATAAATGATATCCCCAATTTTCAGTTTGGTGGTGCGGTCCTGGTAAACCCAGCGACCATTTCTCGGTTTGATGATGTCAACGGCGATGGTCCCCGCTTCAAGACTGTAGAAATCGTCGTTAAATTTTACATGATAGGCGACCAAACTGATTCCATCCTCGTCTAAGGAAAAGATTCTATGTTATTATTTCTTCAATATTCCGTTTTGTTTACGTCTTTATGCGGAGATTAAAGTTTATGAAATTCTCTGAATTCAGACTTATCTGAGATATACTATATGTATAGACGCGCGTCCTATTAACAAATGAAACGTAATCTGTAAGCGAGTTACTTAATACACGAGGAATTGGAATATTTTTGCTGACATACGACATAAGTAATACGATTTTCATCGAGTAATTAACAATTAATAATGCATTGTATAGTAAGTAATATTTTTTAAGATTATGCGATTAAACATCTGTCTATAGATAAATACAATTTTGTGGTTTGTTTTCGAAATATTTTGGACACTTATTATTGATTATGTGCATAGAATATATTATCTTCTATTATACATGTAGGTATCGATTGTTATCCATGTACCCATATGTACATATTTCATCGCAGAGGCATCGCTCGCTGATGTAACGTCATAATTAAACCTTGTTCTCATTCAAGGCTGCGAACACTTTTGTAGTTTCTTTTCTTTCCTTGAGCAACACATTCATAAAAACAGGGATTTCCACTCTGAGTAACTGAGCACTCTGAGCCGTCTATTTATAAATATTACCATAAATCCATGGAAATTGTGTAAATTGTTCTTAACGTTTGGTTAATATACGCATGCAATATTACGTATTTATATTGCATAACGAAGATATTATTATTCAACAAAATATTTACGTCCGAGACTTAGAGAACTGATTATTTTTATTACTACCGCAACTATTTTATTATCATTATTATTATATTAAGCAAGACCAGATCAATACAAAAATTGGCAATAGTTTCGTTATGATTTCTTTTAATGTCTCTACAAGAGTGTATTGTTAAATATCATTCAACAACTTTTATTAATTCTTTAACTGTCACATAGGCGTGATTTTAATTCGTGGTAAAGCTAATTTATATTTTTATCTAATTCACAGAGTTTTGTAAGCCAAAGTCTGTCAATAGTTAATAATTATTTTTAACTATGGTTGAATTAACTCACGTGGAATGGAAATTCGCAGTCCTCTCGGAGCAAGTGGTTCAACGGTCGGCGTTGGTGGAACATATTGCCCGCAGCTTATATCGAACAAAAATATTGAAACAACTAGAATAAACTGGTCGATATGAACACGCATGACGTTCGCGTGTTCTGTCTTCGTTCGCTGAAACGATACTGACAATTTCGAAGTCGATGCTAGTTATACCATGCGAGTTTCCTCAATAATATATCTTGATGTGATGCCATTAGGAACTTTCTATTTATAGATTTACAGAGATGTATCTTCACATGATGTAAACGGTGCGTTCTTTTTCTGATAAATACTTCGTCCGCCAGATAAGCAGAAACTTATCACGAAACTAACAGATTAATATTTAAGAGTTGACAGACACTAACTTTTACATGACCCTCTTGACATCGTTCGTAAGTCGTAAATTAAATTATGTATGTTACACTCATTGTTACAGATATTTGTTGTTACATTATGTTACGAGCCGAGGGCCAGGCAGTTTGGGTGGCCGGAGGTTGCATGCAATTGGAATCTTTTTGGATGAGGTACGTAGACCAGCCGATGTTTATTTCGACACGGGTGGCTACCTTTTAGGTTAGGATGAGGTGCGTAGACCGCCGATGTTTATTTCGACACGGGTGGCTACCTTCAAAGGGGTTTGGATGAGGTGCGTAGACCAGCCGATGTTTATTTCGACACAGGTGGCTACCTTTAAGGTTAGGATGAGGTGCGTAGACCAGCCGATGTTTATTTCGACACGGGTGGCTACCTTCAAGGAAAGTTAGGATGAGGTGCGTAGACCAGCCAATGTTTATTTCGACACGGGTGGCTACCTTTTAGGTTAGAATGAGGTGCGTAGACCAGCCGATGTTTATTTCGACACGGGTGACTACCTTCAAAAGGGTTAGGATAAGGTGTTCGGAGAAATTGGTGTTAGGGTGCCTCGTAACTTTGTTAAAA